GACAGATCTGCGCCTTGGGTTACTCTTCCCTCCGTCCTTCTTTCAAAGAGCTCCTCAATATGGTATCCTCTATAGTGTCAGCTTCTGGGATCCCTGCCTGCATTCCTGTAAAGCCTTTCTTGCTACAAACAGAATTATCAGTGTTCCTTGTGTGACCCCGTGTCCCGACCACAGTGGAGTCCCCAGGCAGGGGTGGGCCAAGCCCCCTAACCTGTTGGGTCTCTGTATTCAGAACTGGCATATGGCTGGTGCTCAGTGGAATGAATTGGAACTGACACATTGTAGTTGGGTGGAGATCTTTATTTAGCAAGTAAGACTCATTTAAAATAATTAACACCTCTTTGTGTAAAAATGTGCCAAAATCATTTTTTTAAAAATTTACTCCTGGAGAGATTAAAACCATGTGTTTATAATATCAATCCATTTACTTACTTAATCCTTACCTTTTATGGATTTTTTAAACCTTCTATGGCAAAAGGGACCTATTATCACTATTCCCTTTAAATTAATGCCACTTCAGATAATAGGTGTACATGTTGTACAAGTAGATTATGTATAATGTGCTTATCTTTTGATACAGTAAGAATTATCAGGAGTATGTCAAGATGGGTAAAAGGGAGAGAAATTACCAAAGACCCCTCCCATGCCACACACATGTTAACGAGGTCTCTTTTTTGACATAGAGTCCAGCCAGCACATTTTTTCCTAACATATAAGCCAGAGCCTTTGCTGATGTCATTCATTTCTCAGGCCCTGTGTATCTGCAGAGCACTGGGCTCACCAAGCCTTTCTGTCTCTGAGGCTAGCAGGCAGGTAATGAAAAGATCCGTTGGCCCCTAATTGGTTTGGTAATTCTGATGAGATTCGATCTTTTTTTTTTTTTTTTTTTTTTTTTTAAGAGAGTGAGAGAGGAGAGAGAGAGAGAGAGAGAGAAAGAATTTTTAATATTTATTTTTTAGTTCTCGGCAGACACAACATCTCCGTTGGTATGTGGTGCTGAGGATCGAACCCGGGCTGCACGCATGCCAGGCGAGCGCGCTACCATTTGAGCCACATCCCCAGCCCGAGATTCGATCTTTTGACAGGGGATTGAAGGGTGAGTATCCAACATGAAGAATCTCTGAGTTCAGGGACAGTTTCTTCATGCTGAAAACTTTCACAAACAAATGAAGCTGAACCAGGTGAAATTGCTTTATGCAGCTGCTCTTGACTTACAAAAGTACTAACTGGATATCATTCATAAAAACATGAAAGAGCATTGACCACTGTTCCCTTTCCTTGGCAGGAAGATTGAGGCAAGGCTACAGGCTACAAAGAGCAGAGGATCACAGGATCTCAGCCAGATCCTGCAGAGTCAGGATACTGCAAGCCAGAGACGAGGGCAGCATCTACTTTAGGGCCTCCTGTGGGACACTGGCTGGGGTAGGGTGGGGTAGAGTAGCATATTTTAGGAATATTCGAAAGTCATTAAGGATGAAGGATTTTTTTTCTTATTTTTTTTTCAATGTAAGAATGTAACATCCCAGACTGAAAACAACTTAGACTTCTAAACTAGATTGGGGTTCAGAGTGGGTTCTGCCATGTGGATAAGTCATTTTGTCTCTCTGCACCTCAATTTCCCCATCTGTAAAACAGGGATAATAACCACTACCTCTGGTGGTTTTAAGAATGAAGAGTAATGTAGGTAGAGAGAGGGGAGCTTGTGCTTAGCACTCCATAGGTGTGCAGTAATTGGCATCCTTGTTATTTTAACCTAATGGTTTCATTTTCTTCCATCTGCAGAGGTCTGTTTTGAAACAGTGTCAACTCATGCTCACCTCCTCTGACCCAGACATGTTAGTCCACCAGAACAAAGGACAGTAGCACGTACTTCCTGATGGTCCCTGTGCCCTTCCGTGTTCACTAGTAAATCTGAGTCCATATCCATGCCATTTCTCAGCAGCTGCCTTCGCCTCCCGTCTGTCTGGCCCATCTCAGACAATTTGAATCCATCAGCACCCTGCTGACAGATTTTCTTAGGTCACTTCTCTTGCATCCCTGTCCGGCTCAGAAGTCTGTGAGACCCCCAATTCCTGCAGGTTAGGAACAAACACTTATTCAGGCATCCAGAGCCTTCCACAAACAGTCCCAGTCAGTCCTACCCCAGCATCCCCATTACTTCCCCATGTCCCCACTCCTGCCCCCTGCAGCATCTCCACTATCCTCATCCCAATGGGAAGAGGCTGGAGCTCAAGCCCCAGCTCCATAACCTTCACCTCTGCAAACCTATACAAGCCCTCAGCCCCCCTTCTCCTCTGCCAAGTGGGGATGATGAATTCGCCCAGGACTGTGAGCTCCTAAGGGTAGGGACTGAGCTCCCTAGTGTCAGTCCTGAATTTAGTCCTGAGTGAGCCTCCACAGAGGCTTTTGAGTGGCAACCCAGCCTCCACACACAAAAAGAGGGTCCAGCAAATGCTGTGCCCCTGGCTAGACTGTCATGGGATGGACAGCTTTGCCTCTCCACAACTCCCATAGGCCCCTCTCCCCGGGGTTTGGTGCCAGGAACACTGGATAGGCTGGTTAGCAGCTTGATAGATTTTGAATCTGTAGTTCTCACACTTTAGTGAACTTCATCATTCCTTGGGGTAGGGATGGAGCTTGTTTAGGAATGCAAATTCCTGAGCCACCTCTTAGACATTCAGGTGGGGCCCCGGGCACCAGCATTTGTAGCAAATACCACAGGTGGTGATATGGGTGGTCTGAGTCTGAGGACACCCTTGGTGTTGGTTAGTCTTTCAGATGTCCACCGGCCACCTGCTGTTTTCAAGGCACTGTGCCATGTTGGAGGCATGAAGGTGCAGGCTGGACCTCAGGTCAGAGTTGATGACGGTTGTTAAGAGGGGGGGGAATGGGTGTGGCCAGTATGAGAAATCAGCCTATGGCATTTGCTGGAAAATGGATGGAAATGGAGAACATCAGGCCCAGTGAAATAAGCCAGTCTTGGAAAACCAAAGGTCGAATGTTTTGTCTCATATGTGGAAGCCAGAGCAGAGCAGCGGTCAGAAGGAGGGGAGGGTCAGCTTTCACAAAGATATAAGGAAGATGAGTGGAGGAGAAGAAGGAGATTGAGGGGGAGAGAGGAGAGATGGGAATGGGGAGGAAATGTGGAATGATTTTTTTAAAACCATACTATGTGCATATATAAATATACCACAGGGAATTTCACCTTTATGTATAGTAGAAAGAACCAATTTTTAAAAAAACGATGAATGAAAGGAAGATTAGGAGAGGAGGAAGAATCGGGGGAGGGAAGAGGAGAGGGGAAAAGTGTTTTTTTGTTGGAGGGACATGAACTGAAATTGAATTCCATGCATGTGTGATTTTGTCAGGATGAACCCAACTACTATGCATAAGGATAATACTCTAATCAAAAGAAAAGAAAGAAAATTATACCATGGACCCAGGCTTTATTCAGTCTTGGGTCTCAGGTGTAAGGATGTGGGTGGGAGCAAAGGCCACCTCTGAAAGCCACTAGGAGCCAGCAAGTTGGTCAGGGAAGGACCAGAAACCAGAGTTCAGAGAAAACTGACCACCAGGCAGCTTCCTCCAGGGACAGCAACCAGGAACGTGAGAATGACCAACCAAGTACTGGCGGATTCCTCATATTTCCTGCTCCCTGGTCCAGCCCTGCTTTTAACAGGTCGTCTACACCTGGAGGCCGCAGCTTGGGCAACAGAGGAACACACCATTGACATGACACAGCAGTGTGCTCAGTGCCCACCTGCGATGATGACCTTGAACAAGATGCTTAATTCCTGAGTCTGTCTGTCTCTCTCTTTCTGCAAAGTAATGGCCCCCAAAATATCCACTTCCCAATCCCCAAACCTGTGACGATGTTATCGTAAGTGGTTGCACAAGTGATTAAGGGACTCTGATCTGAGATTATCCCAGTGCGCCCTCATTAGAGACAGGCAGGAAGATGAGGGTAGGTAGAAAGAATATCACTTCTCTGTGATGATGATGGGGTCACAAGCCAAAGAAATGGAGGGACCTCAAGAAGCTGGAGAGGGCCAGGCAATGGACTTTTCCTTGGGGCAACCAACCTTGAAGTCCCACTTCAGACTCTTCTGACCACCAGAACTGTATAAGAATAATTCATGTCGCTTTAAGCCACTAAGTTCATGTCGCTTTAAGCCACTAAGTTTGTGGCAACTTGTTATAGCACCCACAGGAGATTAGAATAGAGATGCAAAGAATGCAGCATTGGTGCCAAACTCAGAGCCCAAGTACAGAAAGAGCTTGGTTCAAGTGCAACTCAGTAAAGGTAGCAATATTACCCACATTAGGTAAGTCTTAGACAAGGCAAAGGATGTGAGTACACCCCCATGTTTCTTGGTACCTTGTAGATGCCTGGTAGGTCCCTATCCTTCCCCTGAAGGTCTGGGTGGCTGGGAGAACCCCACCAAGGAGAAGTGTAGGAGACCTGCAGTGGCTTGTGTCCTCCCCACCCTTCAGGTCTCTGGGTCTGAGCTTCTGTCCTTTGGTAATCAGTGTGTGTGCTGGGGGGCCATTCCCTGGCCCTCCGACTCTCCTGAATTTGCCGCTGTTGTTGGTTTCTGTCTCCCCAATGGTACCTACTCTTACATATGACTCTAAAGCCCTTGGAATCTTTCCTGCATGAAGTTGGTGCTTTTCCAATTGCTATCTCTTGTCCTTGCAGGTGGCTGCTCTGTTGCTTCTTCATGGCACTGACTGCTTGTCATGTGACTTCTTTGTTTCCCCAAAGGCTCCACGACTGTGCTGGGCCCTTGGCAGCCCCATGCCACACCTTCCCCAAGGAGTCCACTGTCCTTTCTAGTCTGGAGACAACAAGATGTGGTCCAGGGTCTGAGCCGGGCATCGGCTGCTTCTGCCTGAGCTCTCAGAGGGTGGGCTGCCACTGGGCCCCAGCCTGTGAGGAGCATGTGTGCCCCTTTATCTCCTAGCACCTTCTCAAGGCTGTCCCCTCTGGCCTCTCACAGGGACCTTCGTCTCAGCCTTCACTGTGCTGTGTGGGGCCCGCACTGACCTCCCAGACAGGCACGTGTGCTGCGTCTTCTGGCTGAACATCGCAGCGGCCCTCATCCAGATCCTCACAGCCATCGTCATGGTGGGCTGGATCATGAGCATCTTCTGGGGCATGGACATGGTCATCCTCGCCAGTGAGTAGCTGCAAGTGCCACACCTTCTGGTGGGTCTGGAGCCTGGAGGGATGTGAGGGCTGAAGGAGCGGCTCAGGAACAGGAGGGACTTGGGAGGCCTTCTTGGCTGATCACAGTCCTGCTCACCTCCTAAGGACAGGTGCTCTGCAGCACTCACCCCCGTCCTCCTCACGACTGCCCATGGCCACTTGGCACAGGGGACATTCCCCACCACACCTGGCCAGGACACCTGTAGGGAGCTGAGTAGGCAGAGTCTCCTCTCAGATGGCGGAGACCTGAATGTTGCTTGGTACCTTGTGGATGCCTGGTAGGCATCCTGCAGGCATTTGTCAAGAAACAACCCACACTCAAGTCTGTGTAGCCCTAGAAGTGGCCTGAGTGAGCTCAGCCCCTTCACTGACTCCATCCTACAGTTTCCAGAAAGAAGGACAAGGCCACTTGCCCACAGGAAACCCTACACTGTGTTTCTTACGGCTAAGGCTGTGTGATTCCTTCTCGGGTTAAACTGAGCTCTTTGTTCATTGATGGTAAAGCTTTTCTAGTCTCATTTGGACAGGGCTGACCTTCACCAATCTGATGCAAACATGATCCAGACACAAAACTATTTTGCCAAAGGGTATAAAGTTACAAATTTACCAAAGACGGCTTGATTACTATTTTTAAAATAACCAAGCAAAACCTAAATCAGACATCACTTGCCTTGAGCAGCTGCACACTTCTCCATTTGCCACTGTCCAAATTCTCATGAAGCTGTAGCTCCTCAATAATCAGGACCCCATCTCCTCAGGCACTTTGCCCTACCCTACCCCACCCTGACTCCATACTCCCCATCGGGTCCCACACCCAATGAAACCATTCATAAGTGGAATTGCCAGTGCCAAAGGCAAGCTACACTAGGGGAGGGCAGCAGAGGCAAACAGGGAAGCCCAGGGTTCAAGGAACCTAGAATGATCTAGAATAATCTAGAATGATCCAAGTCAACAACCTGAGTTTGGGACACACACACAATGCCAGGGACAAGGCCAGTGACTAAACATGTCACCAGGCCAGAGAAGATGCAAGTACCTGAGCCTGAGTAATACCTGCAGAGCCAGTGTCTGAGTCAGACAGGCTGCCCACAACGGGTCCTCCAGGAGCACCAGTAAGGGGAGGAAGTGGGTTGGCTGGACTTAGGGCATCTCAGAATTAGAGCAAACCAGGCACATTCTGGGCAACCAGGGGCAGCCAGAAATGGGAAGAGGCACAGCAGGCCTGGCCAGCAGCTGAGTGTGGGCTGCCCTGGTGAAGGATAAACTGATAAGCAGTAAGAGAACTACTTCTTCCTGCTGCAAAGGGCCTTTCTGGGGCAGTGGCTGCTCTTGCAGGTTGGGCTCCGGGAGATGGGCCTGGAAGAGTCAGTAGAGCGCAAGGCAGGCCGGTACAGCTCTCCAATGGAGACCTGCCCTGTGTCCAGGGGCCACTTACATTTTGTAGGAGAGGTCAGAACATTACTGATTCAAAAGAACGGCTACCCGCCTTCTGGTGAGTCCTGAAAGCTGCCTGACAATTTCTTAGAGGGAATTGGGGTACAGGCTCCTGACCTCGTTTCTAACTGGAACCTTGGAAGACCATGAAGCCTGCCCTGGCTTCACACCTATGAACCCCTCTTACTGGTTCATGTGCTCATCAAACCAAGGGTCTGGCCAGGTGCTGGGACTTTCGTGTGTTAGTCAGCTTTGTGTTGCTATGACAAATACCTGACATAAATAAACTTATAAAGAGAAAAGTTTTATTTTGGCTCACAATTCTGGAATTTCAACGTTTTGGTCCATGGTCAGTTGACTCCATTGTTTTAGGGTCTGTAGTGAGGCAGCACCTCATGATGGAACAAAGCTGCTCAGCTCACAGCCAGGAGGCAAAGGAGAAAGAGGAAGTGACCACAGTCCCACAGTTCCCTTGAGACACACCCCCAGTAAACTAAGACCTCCCACAAGGTCCCACCTCATAAAATTTCTTCTACCTCCCAATAATGCCGCTGTGGGGACACATGGGCCTTTAGGGAACATTCCACACTTGCAGGATGAGCAGGTACATCTCTAACCCCAGTCTTTCCCTCTCCCTTCCCAGAACCCCAATCCCTTCCTGTGGATGAGAGTCAGCTCCTTAGACGTGTGGACGCTGGCTCTAAGGAGCTGTCTTTACATCAAACTCTGTAGGGAGCACATAAGAAAAATAGTCACACGGTAGCCTCATGCCCACCGACCCTGCCTGACCACCAGTGTCACTCCCCCATCTCAGCAGGGGATGGCTTTGCACTTTTTCCAAAAATTGCACCCACCCTCCAAGGACACGTCTTGCCACTTGTGCGATGGGCAGAGATTGCTCTGAGCAACAGTGGAGTGTGTGTGTATCTCAGAGTCGCTTCTAGAGAGGAAAGGCCACAATCCACTTGTCTGTCCTAGTGGACAGTTGGATAAGCGGCTGTTCTTTCTGGGGTCACTCCGGGCCCTTCCTGTGAAAATGAAGGAAACGTTGCAGTTGTGACGACACAGGTTGACTTTTCACATGGCACCCTCCAGGGTGTTATCGGCAAGAAAAACTCCTAATAATCCAAAATAAATGGAAAAACTGGGGGTGGGGGAGGGGGTTCTGAGGAATGATCAGTAGAGTAAATGAAGGGGATTCAGGAGGGTTGGGATAAGGGAAGAAAGGGGGACTGAATCCGACTGAACTTTCATATGATGTTTATGAATACGCCACAGTGAATCTCAAAATCAAATATATCCACAAGACACTAAAAAAACCCTGTAAATAAATTGCAGAGAGATCAGTAAAGTAGAGGGAGGAGATAGGGAGGGAGGAGGAGGGAACGGGAAGGTGCTGGGGACTGAATAAGAGCAGATTATAATCCGTGCTTTTGTGATTATGTCAAAATGAATCCGAATGTTATATATAACTAAAAAGAATCAAGGAAAAAAAAAAAAAGAAAAGCTCCTAAGAGGGAAATCAGAGAAATAGAGACAAAAGTACAAGTGAGAGTCAAGAACTTACCAGCCTGCTGCCCTGTTTGTATTCATCATAACAAATAACAATCAGTAATGGCCTGTCTTGGGTCACGGGTTAGTAGGTACTTGGTAGCTGTCTGGAGGGTTCCTTCTACAGCTGTACCCATGACAGATGTTGCTACTCCATCATGACACTGTCAGCCCAGGGCTTCAGGCAGTTGATCCAAGATATCTGCATGGTCATTGGCCACCTCTGAGCCTGGGTATTTTCCCAAAGCATTAGGTCTTATATATGTGGCTCCTGTCCATACAGAGGGCAAAACCACATGGCCCAAAGAGCAGGGTGGACACCAGAACAGTCCCCTGTACCCATCACTCCTGAGATGCATCCAGAATTTATCTCAAGGCATGGGCTGGGGAGGAAAAGAGAATGAGGGCAGGAGGGGAGCAGAGGTGTGGCCTGGCTGGCATGTGGGGGCTGGGGAGGCACTGGACAGAGTGGCTTGGCAGAACTTCTGTGTCTCCCCTGCCATCCTAATGGGCCTACCGCTGGCCACAGTGACTAGTCACCATGACCAGTGAGCACCCCTTGTCAGAGGACTGGACTTCTAGGAAGTCACTGGCACAGTGCCTATTCCGCCTCCCGGGACCCTCCCTGGGTGCCCTCCCATTGTGTATTTCAGGCATCTCTGTGGCTTCTGTTTGTAGACTGTATTTTCTCTCTCTCTTCTTCCTCCTGCTGCCTCCCGTCTCTATGTTGCTGCAGTTTCTCAAGGTGAGTCTGCTGATGGGCACGTGGACCTGGGGCTGCCCGGGGGCCCTCTCCTCCCTGGGACCACCACTCTTGCCCACAGACACCCCACTCTCCCAGTTGGTCAGTGGTTTTGTATTTTTAACTTTATATTTTGGAAAATATAGATGAAGCTCACACCAGCTTCAAGCAGTCACTGCCACCCTGTTTCATCCATTACTCCCACCGTCTCCACACCCCCGCCAGCACTGGATCATCAGCACCTAAGGTTAATGAGTAATCTGCTAGATGAAGAGGGAAAAACCCAGTTATGTCCATGGACGCTCCTTCTCAGACTAAGATAATTAGTGGATGGGGATAATGGCTCAGCAAATCCACTCAGATAATTTCAGCCCTGTAATTTCACCCAAACATATTAGCAATGATTCCTTAACATCAACAGGGTTTGTATTTTCCCAAAGGTGGCTGAGGATGTAGCCCAGTGGTAGAGCGCTGACCTAGCACACACCACACAGATATACACACACATGGGTTGAACATCCTCATGATGATTGCTTCCTTCCGGGTACTGCCTTCCTCCTTTCTTCCTGCCTCCTCTCCACCTGTGCCACAGGACCAACACTTGCTCACTCACTTGCCTGGACTTTTCCCCAAGGCTCTGCATTTTGCCATCACACCAGGGCAATCTGGTGGAGCCATTTTTATGCAGCTGCTTCTGGACTGTGAATTCAGGAGCACATCAATAGCCTTCCAACCTGCACCCTAAACACCCCTTCTCATCTATTGCACAGTACTTGATTCATCCTTTCATTTTCTAATTAAAAGCCAATGCCCTTCGGAAGTCAAGTCCTGACATAGCAGTCATTTATACCACAGTATGAATTAACTCTCACGAGAATATTCTGGTTTACAGACATCTCCTAGAGAATTCTTAAAGGCAAAGGGAGCCTAACCATCTCTCTCTTCTGCTTCTTCCTCACAGGGTACAAGGAGCAGGGCATCCCACAGCAGCTGTGAGCCCACAGGACCCACCAAGGAAGTCCCCGGGCCCTGCAAGGGCTGCACCAGGCAGCTTGTGGCACAAGGACCTTTACATGTTCTTTTCTGCCGTTTCCTGGATTCGGGGTGGAAAAGGGGGTATTTTTAGAAATATTATTTATTTTGAAATCGCATCTGCTTTTCTCAGCAGGCTCTGAGGGCTGCCAACCCCTCCTCCTGCCCGGGAAAGCATGGTAGGCTCAGGCATGCGGAGCACTGGGGAGTGGGGCAGAGATGGGCATGTCGACAGAGAGGCTGGGATGCTTCTGCAGGCTCACCTTCACCTGGCAGTGCCCACCGCCCACTACAATGGTACTCCAGAGCTGCAGGGCTGGACTGCAGTGGTCCCTGTCCAGGTGATTGGGGCTTGCTAAGGGGGCGGGACTGTGGAGGACACTTCCTCTGGGTCCCCATTCCTGCCTCAAATATCTGGTGCCCCTAGTGTTTACTCTGTGGTCTCCTGGGGGCAGTACCAGGGTGCAATTGAGGATGGCCAGTTGCCAGTCCAGTGTGGAAAGGTCCACTGTGCTCACAGCTGGCATTGGGGAGAGCATGGGTCCCCATGGGTCTGACCACAAACTCCGTCTCCTTGCCGCTCATATGTAATGGCAGAGTGTGTTTGGTCCATGATTTCCCTGGGTGGGAGGGCAGTGGCTCTGTCCCTGGGGTGAAATTGCTGGAATTGCCAGGCTGAGGTGTGAGTGGGCACGAACTGGCTGCTTTCCTCATGATGCTTAATACCATTTCTGGTCCACAGTCCTTTTTTTTTTCTGAAATCCTTGAAGCCAGATGTGTCTCTGAATTAGGAAATTTTGGATTTGAGAAAGATGGTATGATCTATTTTCTGCATATTTCCTAACACCCTGGCAGAGTCTGGAACAGCCCACCCACCATCCAGCACATGAGTATTTCTGCAGAGAAACATGTGAATAGATTAATTGGGATCAATAAAAAATGTAAATAGTGTTGCCTATTCGGGTCAGACTAGATGAGTCCTGGGAGAAAGACTACCACTAGATAGATGGCTTTTGGAGTTTCAGAATTTCAAAGCAATTTAAGGAGGTGGTGGACCTCCATCTGAAAAACCCGACTTGCACACAGATGCATTGGAGGTGAGATTGTTGGTGCTGCACAGGGACCACAAGGCTCCTTTAAGCCACTTCTCTGAAACTGATGGCTGCAGATTAGATTTTAGTGGAACCAGGAATCAAGAGAAGGCGTGCCGACTGCTGCCAATCAAGTACCAGTCTGAAATTAAGAGAAAGGAGATCCAGGGGCTGGGGTGGTGGCTCAGTGATGGAGAGCTTGCCCTAGCACGTGTGAGGCCCTGCGTTCGATCCTCAGCACCACATAAAGATAAAATAAATAAAGGTATTGTGTCCATCTACAACTAAAAAGATGCTTAAAAAAAAAAGAGAAAGGAGATCCAAAATGGATATTCACATGTCCGTTTTCACTCTCTAACACAGGAAGTGATAACACATGGGAACTGGCCCCAACGCTCAGGTTCCCGACCCCTCTGGGCTTTGAACTGTTGGATGTGTCCCTGTTTAAGGGACTTTTCTTATCTATCAGAGGCTCTGTCAAAACCCTGTCAGGGCTGGAGCAGGAACCTGGCTACAATGCGGGATGCGGGCTCTAGGGAAGTGGCGCCCACTGCTCTGGGGGTGCCATCCCACCTACCCCCACTAGTGGGCTATCTAATGACAGTTCTGCTGGGGAGCAGACTTTGAGATTCCCCACAAACTGAACTGTCCCCTGACCTCTGTGAGGCATGGGGTCCTGCCCTGCCACTTACTCCTGGCCCCTACTCTAAGGCAAGCTCTCTGCTCCTACTCTGTCCTTCCCACGGGTCTGCCCCTTAGTTTCCATGAGCCTCTTTCCTTTCATTGACGCCTGGGGCTGGGCTGCACTTTCTGAGCACCAGGCAGTGTCTCCACGTCTTCCTGGGCCCCCTTCTTCCTGACCTCAAGCCCAACTTTTATTGCTTTTTCCTCCTATTTGGAACCCGCTAGACTTCAGTCATGGGATCAGATTTGGTTCCACCCAAATAACCAGAGGCCTGCAGCCCGCCGCTCTCCAGGAAGGTGCATCAGAGAACGGGGACACCCCTCAAATGAGAGGAAACAGCATCAGCAGAGGTCCCAGCCACCCGCTCCCACAACCCACCAACCCACAGCCCTTCATCCCCAACAGTCCCCCCAAATTGCCTGACGCTCCCTGAGTGCTGACAAGTCTTGGGACGGGGCTGCCCCCACAAGTGAGAGAGCAGGAGCTTATTTTCCTGGCTGGGGCTGGGGGTGGCTGCTGAAGGAGGAGAGGAGAGGTAGCAATTTGTGTTGGGTGTTTAGTGACACGATCCAGACGCGGGTGGGATATTCTTGAGTGGCAGGTGTCACCGTATGTGGGATGGCTTAATACAGGGGTTTGTGAGCTTGGCAGGCCACCTCCTCCCCACCCCGCACCGTCCTCTCATCTGAGGGCTGTGTCTCTGCATTTGGGAACACATCAGGCCAGAAGGAAGCAGCCACTCTCCAGGTAAAGGATGTGTGGGAGAAGGCAGGGGCCCCCATCTCCTGAACAGCGAATCTGTGAGGGTGGCCATGTGGGTGGGAACAGCTCAGAATAGAGGTCTTCTGAATTAGACCATGGTCATAGCATTATCAGGAGATAAGGACAGCGGCCAGTTTACTCCAAGTCATCCGAAATGGCCATTTGGATGGTCAGAGTTCATTGATGAAGCAAAATGGAAAGAAGGGTCCTTGTGCCAATGAGTGCTTGACTGACACACAGCCCTTTGGTGACACAAACTGGAGCTTTGCCTGGATGCTATGGCACAAGGCTGATGGCAAGAGTTCAGGAGTGGCAAGACACGTTTCAGAGTTCAGCAGGATGCTCCCTGGCCGGAGGGTGTGGGGCAAGAGTCACAGGCTTGTAAATGAGACCCTCCAAGGACCTAGTTGTGACACTGTGATCAGGGTGGCCATTTCCCTTTGGCCAGAGTGGGACCCTGGAGCAAGAGTGAGGCACCTGGCACCCTGGGTATGTCCCAAGGATAGTAGCAACTGTCAGGACAGGACAGCCAGGACCCCATGGGTACAGCAGAAGCAGTACAGTACCCCTGTACTGGTCCTGGAACCCCTGGGGCCTGCTGTGCTGCTGGGCCCCAGCCCCAGCCCCAGCCCCAGCCTGACAAGCCGCTGGCCTTTCCTTGGCCAAGTCTCTTTGAAGGAACAGAAGGAAGGGACCTGCAGCATGGTTTCCCTCCCAGACCCCCGTGCCCAGCTCCAGTGAACAGCCTCCACATGAGGGACCCTCACCCAGCATTTTTATCTCCTGTCACCCTTCTCAGCAGCCTGGGAGGGGAGATCCTTGGGCTGAGTTTTCAAATGTCAAAGTGAGGCCTCAAGAGAGTAAGTTCCGTGTCCCCAGATGTATGGCTCATGTGGCAGAGACAGGGAGTGGCCAGGTCTGGCTCCTCCTACAACCAGAGCCAAAGAACTCCTGGCAGCCCAACCCGGAGGAGGAAGGGATTGCAGGGGGCCTGGGAAGGGCCCCCTCAGAAGTATAAGGCGTCAACAAATAGAAAGTCACCTTCTGGGAAGAAACCCCAGGGCCTCCACCCTGTCCCACGTGCTGCCTGTTCTCACCATTTTGAGTAGCCTCCGAGCCCACGCTCCCTTGCTGGGGTCAGGTCCAGAGGGATGCCCCTTATGGAAAGATAAGATGACGGTGGCCAGGGAGAGAGCGAGAGCTGGTATTGGGAGTTATCTGACCCTAACTCAAAAGACCACTCCTTTCCCATCTGGGGGGTTCCAGCCTTTCAGACACATGATGGAGAGTCGAGGTAAATTCAGCCTCGTGCAGGATGCTGTGGGCTGAGGAGCCCTGGGGAGAACTCCCAGGGAATCTACAGAACTACAGTCTCCCCGGGAAGGAAAAGGGGCCTAGATGTCCAAATCAACCACACCCCAAACACGGAGCCCAAGGCCAGCACACAGCAGGGCCGAAACCCCAGGACCAGGGCCAGGGCCCCCCAGAGCCCTGATGTTCCTGATGGGGAAGGTACCGCTGAATGACAATGAGCCGCCTGCACCAGCTTGGACTTTGAAAACACCAACCTAAAACCCCACTCTCAAACTTTTCCTTTAGCTAACCCCTTCCCTGGGGTGAGTTTGCGGGGGTTCGCTTCAGTTTGGTCTGGACACAGAGTCCGGCCTCCTCAGGGCCCTATCCTGGCTCCCAGGCCCCCGCTCAGGTTTTCATACTCTGAGTCTGTTTTTTTACTGTGTTTCGTGATATTGGCAGAGAAAGCTTGGAACGTTGTGTAAACGGCTTGGAGACGGATGATTGAGACGTACATTCTGCACTTAGTGGCTGGAGACATTATTTACAGTTATTATTTAGTCCCTCTTTCTGGCACTGTGTGGAGGGCTCCCCTCAGAGGGACTGGAGCTGGGGAGCCTTTGAAAGCCCCCCTCCCCCACCAGCCCAGTTCTCCGTGGCTTTGCATGTGGTTGGGGGCCTCAGGCTTGGGAACAGTTAGAAGTTGTGGCTGCCAGCCTGCTGCCCACCTCCCCACCCCTGGACAGCAACATGCCACCTGCTCCCTAGGGCTCAGTAGAAGCCATTTGCTGGCCTCAGGGAGTCCACCATGGGCCACCTTGGCTCTCAGTCAGCAAGCACCCTGGGAGATCCTGCTGGGACAAAAGATACCCTCACCTCCACATGCCTGTGACCCCAGCCCCCACAGGGGACAGCAGGGTGTAGGGGACATCTTGTTCAAGGAACAGACTGCCTCTTCTCCCTCCAGAGCACTCTTAAGCGCAGGCTGTAGGGGATGAGGAGGTCATCTTGGCCAAGGAAAACTGACAGTGGTCCTTTTGGATCGGCGAGGTTCTGAAATAATAATTTAATAAAAAGGTCAACCTGAGTAGGTGCGTGAGAGGCTCAGGGCTGTGTTTTTCCTGAGCTTTCTCCCCAATGAATTCTTGGAGCTCCTGAATGTTCATGGGGTCACAGAGGTGGGGAGTGCTCATGCTCAGAGCATAAGCCACCCCAATTCTCAGGACATGCAGAGACTGGATGAATCCCAACCAGAGTGAAGCCAAATGCCCCTCCCCCCGGGGGGGGGAGGAGCTCTGGCCCCAGCACGGTTAGGGCTGCCCACCTCACTCCATGGGCTTCATGCCACAATTGAACCATCCATAGGCTGGGAACCAAGTGGGTCCTGGGAAGCCATCATTTTTCCTATTTCTGTCAAAGTAAAGGGCTCTGAGGGCCCAGCCTCAGAGGGGCTCTCGCAACGCCTCGCCTTCTGACTCAAAGCACTGGCAGTCCCAGAGTGGAGAGAGCCACAGCTCATTGGCAGAACAGAAACACTGTTGTGAAATTCCACAGTCCCCTCCCAATGCTGTCAGAGGGCAGAGAGACCCAACTTGTATGTGTGTCCTGAGTTTCTGGTACAAGTCAAAGTCCCTTGATTCAGATTTAGCTGGGAAACCTGGGTCCCCAAATCTCTCCATGTTCTTCTGCCTGGATTTGCCAAAATGCCAACTAGTTGGGCTGGTCTGGACTCCACATCCCACCACCTGCCCTGTTCTGTATTTTCACCTCAAAAGGGCAGAGGTATGGACACACGCGCACACACCCACACTCCAGCCCCTAGACTATGGGTGAAGCAGGGCAGGGTCTGCCTGGGCACCTAGAATAAGACTTATCTCCACTGGCCCCCTACCCTGTTCCAGGGTGATCTCTGGCTGACGGTTCCATACACCCTCACCACGCACAACCTTTACACACAGGCATACATTGTTTTCTTTCTCTCCAGGGCCTCTGACCTGTGGATCTCTTCTTCTTGGGGCCCAGGGGCTCAGCACCAACCCCCACTCCACCAATCCTGCCTGTGTTTGTCCTCCACATCCCTTGCTTGGCCTTCTGAGGGAGGGATGGTGTGTGGGGGGGCTGGCCAGAGAAGAGTGTCCTCTCTCTGGGGTTCCCCTGAGGACGCAGATAATTTTCTCTTCTGAGACCCCTCTCTGTTCCTACAACACACCCACCTGCCCCAGCCTAGGATCCAGAGAGGAAAGAAGGAAGACGCATATTCCAAGCAGGGAGAAGGGGTGATGGGCGCTCTGTGGGCACCTGTGTGACTGGCCCTTGTCATGGGCTCTTAAGCCATGCTGTTGAACATGGCGCCATTTTTAAAAACAACACATGTAAAAATAAGACCAATGCTTCTGTGTGTATCTGCTGAACATATGTATGGATGAGTGTTGTGTTGTGAACTGCAGTATTTTAATACCGTGACTCTGTGTGGGTCTCTCTTCTTTTTGTTCATGTAATTGCTGTACATTTTTGTCACCCTTAGACAAATTCACTCTGATCTCCTGGAGCTTTCTTATCCCACTTCTACCCAGACTCCCAGGGAGCCCCCCACCCCAATCCAGCCGAGGGAGCATTCCCAGCCCATTCCAAAGACAAGAAAGATTCTAATGTTGGGGACCTGGGGAAGCTTCCAGCCTGGGGCCCAGCCTGCCTGCGGTTTAGCTTGCCCAGCACCCTTGGGCCTGAGACCTGCGGCCGTCTATCAGGGGTCTCCACAGCGCCCTCTAGACGCCAAAGAGGGTTCCAGTTTCTCCAGCCTTCCGCCTCCTTTGAACTCCCTTACTCAAACAGCATTGCTGTCGGTGTAACAAAAAAAATCCCATGTAGACAATAAAACCCGTGTACATATCTCCATGTACATATTTATACATACACATGTGTTCCTAATTATAAATATATAAAGCATGGCATCTCCTTGGCATTCCATTTTTGTGTTGTTGTTTTTTTTAATCCTTGGAAATACGGCTTTGGGAATCTTTTCTCCCTTTCCCTCTTTTTCTATGTAATAAACATTCACGTGACCTTTTTGGAGCTTCCTCAATTCTCTGTGTCCTCCCATTCTCATCATCAGATGGGGCTCTGATACCTGCAAAGCGTGTCTCTCTCTCTCTCTCTCTCTCTCTCTCTCTCTCTCTCTCTCTCCAACCTTTCCATTTGGACTCCTTTCCATTATGAAGGCTGTGCTGCCCTCTTTCAGGTCATTTTCCCCACTTTCCCTTTCCTGGTACAAGTCACTCCTCAAACCACCACATCTTTGGGCATCTGATTCCTTTGCAACCAGGAACACAGACAATGGATTGAGCATCAGGACCTAGACTGGGTGTAGGACGGGCATCCATTCCCTTTCATGCTTGTTGGACTGGCCGAAGAGGGAAATGTGTTTGATCTACATACTTGATAATGTCTTTTCTGGATCGGGGTGAGTAAGAGTGTTTAGGAGAACTTACAGCGAGCTGTTCCACCCTAGCGAGGGCCTGGTAGAACCGTGGAGGGAACTGCAGGATGTCGTGCACAGCCTAGCCGATACCTTCATTAATAATTCAGAGAAGACCTAGAGGACTTATTAAATTTGTGGATGAGGGGAAATGAATATCCAAGATGAACAAATCAGAATCCTAAAAGCTCTTGACAGGCAGAGGCAATCTAACAAGATGAAATCTAATCCCATTAAATGAAAGAGTTCTGCTTGGAATCAGCCACACTCTACGCCTGCCTTCATACCCAGGGAGTAGCTGACAGGCAGCTTGGCGTTCATCAGCACCGTGATGGGGCTGAAAAACGGATCATCTGGATTTCGATGCATGAGGAGCAGCAGGCTGGGGCCCAGAATGAGACCACGTCTGTGGTGTTGCCCGCAGCACCAGTGCCATGGTGGAGGTGAGTGCTCGCACAGCAAGTGGCCCGCTGTCATCCCTGCTCCTCAGATCCCAAGGGAAAGGCCCTGGCCCTTGCCACCTCCTCAGAATTCCTCCAATCAGCCCAGAACCCTGGGGACCTGCTGTCCTGGTCCATTTTTTTTTCCCCAGGGAGATGCCACATGCTGCTGCTGCTGCCAAAAAAATGAATCAGTTTCAAAACAAAATCTTTGGTGAGACTTCAAGCTCAACAGCAATGGTCCCTTCAAGGCTCCAGAAATGGCATCTAGGCATCAGGTTGGCTTTAGTCACTGCAAAGACAAGACCCCAAATCCAAGGAGGCACAATGAGCCCAGGCACTCTCAGGGTACCCAGACACTCTGGGGAGCACTTCCTGACTGTGCACATCTTTCACATGCTGCGTGTATTCAGATCAGCCAAGGATGCTCCTGGCCGGAGAAGTCTGTCTGCACAGTCATTCAGCTGCAGAGGCACTGACCAGAAGGCATGATGGGAGATGAAGCAAGCAGCACCCTCTAGCCCAAACCCCTCAAGTCACTAAGGTCCCTTCTCCTCTCCCAGCCCCAGTCCTCATATCCTTAGGAAGGGTGACATGGGCTGAGCCATCAGGGACCTCTTTCTTGGGGTGTTAATAAAGGCTCCATAATGGGAGCTCTTCTCAGACCTAAGAGAAGAGACCATGACAAACACAAAGGTATCTGCTTCCCAGAGTTCTCTGCACCCCCTGACCCCAGGCTCTGGAGAGGTTTGGGCTGCATAGGTTGAATTATGTCCCTCTTCTCAAATCCATACGTTATAGTTCTAACCCTCAGCACCTCAGAATATGTCTGTATCTGAGACGAGATCTCCAAAGAGGGTAGGAGGTTATTAGCATGACCCTATTTCAGTCTCAGTGGCGTCCTTATGAGACAGGAAGGATCACAGATACACTGTAATGCCAGATTCGTGGGACTCCAATAGACCTCCAGGAGCCGAATCCGATGCAATCACACAAGAGTCTTTATTGCAAGCTCGAGCCTGGACTCACAACCGATTCCGACGCAGCGGTCCCAGGGAGTGAGTCCCGGTCCTTTGTTCAGTGAGATTTTATAGGGTTTTGGGGATACTCTATGCATCACAACATCACACAACAAATCACTTCACACCGCGGGAAAATCAAACAACAACTCTTAACATTGATTAGCACATTCACTGGCGGGAACAAGTTGGGTAGGGGTGATTGGTGAGTACAAGAGGGGGATTCCTTTGAACTGATTGGTTTAAGCCGTGAGGGGTGTACATGCTAAACTACATGGTTTCCCAACATGTTATCAACCACCATAAACTACTGGGGGGTCATCTGGCATCCCAGATATTTCCCTGTCTCATGCTGATTGGTGGTTGCTAGGGGGTTGCTATGGGTCCCCACCTAGCCTGACTGAGTCAGGGACACCTGGTGCCACAGATCTCTCCTGTTATTTACAGACAAACAACTCAGCAGGGTGGGTATGTGCCTAGGAGTGCTCTGTGGGTTTTTCCAAGGACAAGGATCACGCCCCCTTCCTTAGGACAGGCCTTAGGTAGAAGCTGGTTTCTCAAAAATGGAGTCACATCAGTTTCTCAACACAGAGAGGGAAGACTGCATGAGGACAGAGTGAGAAGGTGGACATGAATACAGTGACACAAATCAGGAATTACTGAGATGGTCACTTGGCCGGAAATAGGAGGAGAAAGAGGGACCATCAAGGAAACAGGAGACAGAGCAATGGCAGGCCACCTGAGTGGGGCAGCACTCTCATGGCTCAGGGGCAAATCCTCGGGTCTGGGATGCCTCTGGTACTTCTGGTGTCCACCCAGCTCCCTGTGGCTGTGAGGCACAGCTATTCAGCTGCTCCTGGGGCCACAGTGTCCTTGGGATAAACCTGGAGACCTAATCAGCCAGGAGAGGCATCATATCTTGCCAGGCTGTGGCCGCCCTGTGAATAGCCTGTTGTGTTAGTGCCTCTTTTGCTCACTGGACACTGAGTTTTGAGTCCCCCAAAGAATTGCTCAATCAGAAGGAGGAGGAGGAGGAGGAGGCTGTGCTCAGAGCAGAAGCCTGCAGCTGCCTCCCAGTCAGAGGGGTGGGTATTTATATTTTTCATCAAAAATAGCAATGCTAAAAAACAAAAAAACTCTATAAGGCAGAGAAACGTCTAAAACTAGGCATATCAGCCGCAGAGGAAATAAGCTTCCTCTAAGAGCTGATCCCCTCCTCTGAGGTTCCAGGCCAGGAGGAGAGCCTAGAAGTCAGGGGACAGAGAGTTTACCTCTGCGGTTGTGTATTTTAGTCAGCTTTGGCTGTTAAGAGGAGGAAAAGTTTATTTGGGGAAATCACAGTTTCAGAGGTCTCAGTCCATAGACAGCAGGCTCCATTTTCCAGGGCTCCAGGTGAGGCAAAACATCATGGCGGAAGAGTGTGGCAGAGGGAAGCAGCTCACATGATGACCAGGAAGCAGAGAGAGACCCCACTGGCCAAATACAAATATATACCCCAAGGCCACGCCCCCAATGGCCCGCCTCCTCCAGCCTGGCCTGCCTCCTCCAGCCACACCCCACCTGCCACCAGTTACCACTCAGTTAATCCCACTAGGGGTTAAGTCACTGATTAGTTTAAGGCTCTCACAACCTAATCTGAACCCTCTGAACTCTCTCGCATTGTCTCACTGTGAGTTTTGGGGACACCTCACGTACACACCATAACAAATTGCTTCTGATATTGCTTGAAACACATCCAGAGTCCTTGGGAAAAGTGGAGGTGGTGACGCATGGGTTGCATTACAAATAAATCAGTGTGGCGCTTTGAGCATGCTGTCCTCCAACACGTTAATGCCCCTGCAGTCCTCACCTGTTCTCTTCTGCCTGGAGACAGCCCTCCTCACCTTACTTCCGAGTCCTACCCTACTCCTCAGGCCTAGCTGGGGAACCGCCTCCAGCGGAGTGACACATGGCTTGTCTTGTTCCCTCTGCTCTCCACTCTCATTTCCCAGAGGCTAGTTCCTCCTCCACTCACACCGGAGAAAGAATGGGTCTGTGATCCCAGCCAGGACACGAGTGTGACCCGCTCACTGAGCTAGCCTGGAATGCTCAGGGTCTTCCCTGAGGTCTCTTTAACTGGGGTCATGGGAAAGACTCCTTGGACCTGAAGATGGCGTTGGTGAATCCGAAGCTCCTTGTGGCCAAGGATCCCACCTCACAGAGAAAGATGCCAACAGGCAGAGAAGGACAGAAAGGAAAGATGGAGGGAGAATGTCTCACTCTGTTTTCCCCAAGGCCAGGGATAGCTCTACCCAACTACAGGAGCTGACACTACAGGAGCCCTTCCTTTTTGCCTTCCTCCCTTCCTCTTTCCTTCCCTCCCTCCCTCCCTCTCTTTCTTTCCATAAACTCATTGTTTCTCTCATTAATAACAGTAAGAAAACATTCTAGTTAAGTACTTGCTCCCCAAAGCCTCCCCTGTCTAATTGTCTTAACTGTTTCTCTTCCCACCTAAAGACAATAGCCTCCATCTATTGAGCTTCTATAATGGGCCAGACCTGAACCAAGGATGTTAGTCAGTTTTCCCATTACTATAACAAAAACTTGAGCTAAATCAACTTAAAAAGAGGAAAAGTTTATTTTAGCTCACAGTTTTTCCAAGGTTTCAGTCTCTGGTCAGTTGGCCTCATTGCTTTGGGGCCTATGGAAAGTCAGCATACCATGGTTGAAGCATGTGGTAGAGGAAGCTACTTACCTCATGGCAGGAATGAAAGAGGAAGAAAAAGGGTCTGGGGTCCCAATCTCCTTTAAGGTCATGCCCCCCAGTAAACTAATTTCCTCTAATTAGGCCCCACTTC